CCACGGTGGAATCGAACTAGAAATCACTAACAAGATCTCTGGAAAAATCCTCAAATATTTGGAAACTAAGTTACTTCTCAAGAAGCCATGGATCAGAGAAGACATGCAGATGGAAGTTACGGCGCCTTTTGTGCTGAGGGGAAGTACCACTTACAGGACGGTGTTGGATGCCCCCGCAGCGAGGCTGGTGGGGGGGGAGTCTCGCAGCCTCGCCCACCGACGTGAGGGAAGAAGGGCCTCGGTCAGTGGCCCCGACTGTCACCTTAAGGAGCGAAGAGAGGAGAATGGATTTCACTGAAGTAAGAAGGAAAAAGCAATAAAGATGAAAGTAGAAGTCAGTGAAATAGAAAAACAGTAGAGAAATTACTGGAATGAAAAGCTGGTTCTTTGAGAAGATCAATAAAATCATAAAAGTCTAGCCAAATTGATCAGGAAAAAGCATCAAAGAAGACCCAGATTAACAACATCAGGATTGAAGAGAGGTTACACTGATATAAATCCTATGAACATTAAAAGGATAACAGAATATACGAACACCTTTATGCCAGTGAACTTGACAGTGTACATGGATGTGCGTTGGGGTCACTGGAAGACTGGTCTGCAGGGCCGAGTGCCATACACGCATTTTCATACAAAGACAAAGATGGACGAGCCTTCCACCCGAAACTCATTCCTTGAAGGACACCCTGTTTGTCGTGTGTGACGACCGTGGGGCAGAGCTGGGTGTGAGCAGGGACAGAGGAGAGAAGGAGGGTGGGCGTGTGTTTGCTGTGTGTGTGCAATAGCTGTAGATGGAGGGCGAGAAGTCGCAGAGACGTCAGTGACGGTGCTGAGGGCGGGTGGGCGGCAGGGAGGACCGAGCAGGTGCTGGAGTTCCAATGGGCGTCGCCGGCACGCTCGGATGGACTTCTGGGTTCTTTCGGTGTCTGAGCAGGGGTGTGTGTGTGGGGGGTGGACTGCAGAAGAACAAAGGAGGTGGAATGACAAGGACAAACGTCACGGATAGGTAACTGGGAGAAGACACGAGGATGTCAGAAAGCTACACACAGGTGGGGCGCTCAGTGTGGAAGATGGGAGAAGAAGCTCGGGGGCCTGAGCGGAATAATTAGAAATAAGTAGGGAGATCATGGAGCTTAACTTCACACAAAGGCAGAATTACTGGAAGGCTAGACCCAAGACAAACGCTGTTGAGAAATGTTTGCATCGGATGAGAGCTGCTGGCTTGCCCACTTGGAGAATATAGTCCTGTGTACCAATAGTATCTAGAATCTGATTGATAAAAAGATAACTCAACAAAAGAATGAATGGCAGACAAATAAATGGAAAAGGTTTAACGTTGCCCGAAACTCAACTTTACTAGAGAATAGACAAAGTGTTCATTTGATACCAGAATGTACCCCCTGTGTTTCTCTATGGCGCGAGCCAGGGCTCCTGAGGCGGTGGCGGGGGGGGGGGGGGGTGCCTCACTGCTGCCCGGTGACGGGCGAGGGTCGCTCTTCCTGGAAAGCTACTGTTCGTGGAAGGCAGGGGTTACCACAACAGCCACGTCGTTGACCTAGTACAGTGATTGGGCCCCTGAGAACTGACTTTGAGCATCTGATTTCAAAGAAACTATGCACCCATTTTGCAGTACTTGCTACATTTTGTATTACTAAAACTGTGAAGTAATTTAAACGTCCTATAGCAAGAGAATCTGTTAATTAAATTGTGGTTCCTCAGTTGAATTTATTGTCCAATCTATAATCTTTCCTGTCTTCAATAGAGGAAAATTAAATCTATATTTATTTGCAAAATTCAAGCATGCAGGACCATAGTTTTGAATTGAAAACTTTAAAAGAACACGTCAAACAATAACATGCTTTGTCGCTTTTGCTAAATTATATGGCATTTCACTCTTTAAAATGACATCTCTATAGTGTTATGGTGATACCAAGCCAATTAGAAATGCAGTGTTTGTCGGAAGAGTTTGGAGCCACTGAGAAGAGAATCGACCTTGGAAACTTGTTTCTTAAAATGAAAACACCCCGAACAAGGGCGCACCTGTCCGCTGTCAGCCAGGGGAGCAGGTCTGCCTTTTCTTCAGAAGCGCAGGGAATCTGAACTTGATTGGGTTGTAAATGTCAGCCATCTTTTCCCTTGGACATCATTTTAAAAAGGTACTTAAATTCTCAAAACTCTGAGAGCCCGGAAATCCCCCAGGGAGCCGGCAGAGCCCGTGGGAAGGAAGGAAACCTTCCAGTTTCCTGACCAGGATGGCAGCTCTGTCTCGGTCAGGAAACAAAAGTGAACTCTGTGCAGAGCGCGTTCCCGGGCAGTAAAGGCCCTGGAGTTTGTTGATAAAAGGGCTTGTTAACCCGTGGATTACACAGATATTCCCTCTTTTTCCTTTCTAAACCAAGGGAACCGGGCCTAAAGGCTTCGGGTCATATATCAATGTCACATGGAAACAACCTAAAGAACAGGCAGCACCCGGAATTGAAAAAGTTTGAAAATATCATTTAGGGACGTGTATTGCTGCACTTGAAAACTGGTCAAGTGGCGTTGTTCAGTTAGAAAAGATCATGATAATTGGAAAGAAATACAGAGAAATTTCAAGAAAATTTGAATGAGGCATTGTAACTATTTCATTGTTAGCTGCATATATGTTTGGTCAAATAAGAGAAAGATTAGAAAGTGACATTTCAGGGTCTGCTACAAGACTGTTGTTTTATAAATGCCAGTGGATTAGATTTCCTCTTACGATGTCGAAATCGTATTTAGAGGGATTTCACTGGGCCATTATCCAAACGCCACAGAACGGCCATAAATCATGCCCTCCATCCGGGTCGAGGCCACCAGACCCGGAACTGCCCCTCCCTTCGCCAGCTCCCAGGGTGCCCCAGGGCTGCAGAAGCACACGCCAAGCACACACCGCATGTGTGCACATGCGTGTGGAAGGAGGGTGGGGGTGTGGGTGGAGGGAGGGAGGCTGGTCTGTAGGCCCAAGTGAAATACTCACATGTTCCACACATAGACTGAAAATAGACTAGCCTTCTGCCCAAAACTAATCTGTTGCAATTCCAGAAATACTTTCCCTGCTTCAAAAATTTCAAATTTACATCTCCTGTATCTCAGGTTTTGTTGGATTTAAGGATGAAAACTGAAAGTCTATGTGAACAAGTATTTCCCTGAAGATCACTAAGTCATCCAGTGATTAAAACGTGTGGCATTAACTCTCAGGGGAGGCCTCCGCCTTGCCCGTGTGGGGAGGTGGGCCAGGAAAAAGGGAGTGCGTGGCTCAGGGTTCAGCCATCGAGCCGTTGGGGCGGACACGGGGGGACCTTTCCCCGAGGCCTTCAGCCAAACGCCAGAAGCTGTTGATGATAGACTCACTTGTTACTGGTATTTTCTTCTTGTTTAATAAAAATGATGAAATCCTGGTGTTAGGTGAAACTGTAGGGAGCTAACCTAGTCCACCAAGTGTGTGAACGAGGGGTTCAAGACCAAGAGCCCGATCTTAGACTGGCGAGGGGAGTTGCTGGGGCCAGCACCGCCAGGACGATGCCGCTGTCCCCTTGGCCCACTGACTTCCTGCGCGAGCAGCAGGGACCACTTCCTGTGGGGGGGGGGTCAGTGAGTGCCCGTCATGGCGGAGTCAGTGGACATTCCCCTCCTGCTTAAGTTCTCGGTTGCATTGATAATGTTAGAAAGCACTTCCTGATCCCACGCTACGGTTCCATTCCGTTCCCTTCACAGAGGGCAATGCATGGCAGATCCGTGAGCACTCAGCACGGCTCCTCGGGTTGGATTATTCGCGAATAGTGGAGAGAACGCATTAGTGAGTTTGTTGGCGTGTGCGTGTGTTTTCCCTAACAGCTCCAGTGGTATTTAGGCTGCAAATGTCGTTGTCAGACAGTGAAGCGTGGCTGGTGAAGGAACGGCCCCCTCGCTGTCCTCCCTACGTCTCCTCCGCTTCCCGGCTGCCTGCCGGGACTGCCGCCCACAGGAGGAGACTCTGTGTCTTCCTTTTCACTCTGTGGGTGGTTTCTGGAAAAAGCAACTGTGTTTAATCTGTCTTGTAATTGTTCGTACTGCATCGTGCTTAAAATCTTACAGGGGCTGGGCACTCAGAGAGACTGCTGAGGAACTGTCCAAAACGAGCAGGGCTTTTAACTGCAAAACAGGTGCTTGTGCGTGGGGACGTCCAAACGAGACCGAAGCGTCCCTGGTCCTGTCAGACCTCCAGCCCCCCAGCTGTCCCAGGTCTGTGAGTTCCAGGTTCTCGCGGGTCCTTCCAGCCACACGGGGTATGGACTCTGGCTTCTGTGTGTGTGTGTCATGTGTGGGTGTGCACACACTCACATGTGTCACAGCTGAGTTGACTCAAGTGCTGATAGCTGAGTCCTAAATAGCGAGTTAATCATAAAACTGTACTCTGAATATATTTTTATCATGGAAGTCATTTATTACACACATTATAGGATAATTGCCTTGCATAAATCCTTATGACTCTACTTTTAAGAAAAATGTATGCATGACACTAACCATGTCCTTACAAGAAAACTAGCATGAATGCCATGAAATTCCAGTAGAACATGGTTCTAATTCAGATGCCTCAATCTCTAGGGTTGCTGAGTTACTGGTGCGAGAGAATTAGTGTTAGGAATTTGTTCGATGCAGAGGTCCCATAGATCTGATATTTTCTTTGAAGTTTCTCTGTATTTCCAAGTGTCTTTCTTACAATTAATAACAGAGTTTTCAAAGAGGCATTATATATTTAATTAAAGAATAAGACAGCATTTTGAAGAAAAGGGTTATATTCTGCTGTAAAACCCAGCTATGTTTTGAAAACCAGCCGCAGATGGTGTCAGATCATCAATATATCTTGGAAAGTACGTGTTGCTGGTACAGACGTGAGCTGAGCAAAGTGACTGTTGGTCTGTCTGCATGAACGAGGGGTCCGAGCGTCCACGTTTTCCCAGCTGGCACTGACCCTCCTTCCCCATGTGCTTTGACCGCAGGGTTCAGCATCAAAGCCGTGCCGTTCCAGAATGCCATCCTGAACGTCAAAGAACTTGGAGGTAGGACATTTTAAGTCATTTCGACATCTCGCTTTAACTGTTCCAATTTGGCATTAATGTGTTACCTGTCCTTAAAACAGTGATCCGTTGTTACCCTTTCTCTTGATAATACACTTCCTAGAAATACCTCCTTCTCTTTATGTATGTTTCAGAGGTTGTTGATGAGTTCCAAGTAATATAAACGTTTTCTTGTGTGTGAATTAAAGAGCTACACTATTGGTGTCATTTCAGAGACGCCTCTTCCTTGGTGTTACTTGTTCAAAAGTTTATTCTTGAATGAAAAATACATAGAGAATTTAATTATAGAAAAATAAGCTGTACATTATGCAGAGCAACGAACTGTATTTTAGAGTAGTTTGTATTTACGCTGCAGGTTTTATTGTATCAAATCTTTTTAGAGTGTGTTTGTTCCGATAATAAATCTTGGCCAGTGGGTTCTTTGCTGGCCACGCACGTTTATGGGTCAGGCTGTTCCCCAAACCATCCCTCTCTCGGTCTCTCATGGCACTCTCTGTCTGGCATTTTTGGGCTGTGTTTCATGTCAGCCAGGGTCTTCACCCATGTAAATAGGTTAACAAAGAAATCGGCCCTTCCCAGTGAACCTGCTGAACTCTCTGATGGCGCAGGGAAATGGTCAGCGCTCTGCGTTCGGTAGACCGTCGGTGAGTTAATGACATAGAAGGAAGTTCTCTTCTCTCTTCTTTAATCGCTTTGTGACATCACCCTTACCCTGTTATTTTTTTAAAGCTCATTTGAGCCGTGACCTGTTTTTAACGTGATCAAGCTGAAACTCCAACTCGAAGCCATTTTAATAGCACTTGAGGCCCTTTCATTCTTATCTCGTCTTTTATTAGCTGATCTTTCCAGGTGTGGCTTTGGGCAGCTGTGTCGAGGACAGCTGGACTCTGTCAGTCTGTCTTGCAGTGGTGACCTTTGACTTGCCTCGGGCTACTATTTAAAATCAACCTTGGTTGATAACTTCTGACTTTCTTTTAAAATATTTGGTTTTGTCATTTTGATTACAAAAGGCATAAAACACAAGAGAGTTCTTGTAGTAGAATAATTTTCCATGTAAAAAAACTTGAAAGACCGTGCTTCTTTTGGTTAAATATTTTAACATGGTGGTGGGCGAACATAGGTTTACGAGTAATGCAAGTGATTACTACAATAATAAATACATAATACAAGGGTAAACGCTGTGTTTTGCCTACTCACCGCTGTGAACCTGCTTTGCCCTGTATGACCCTGTGGTTTCTGGTGACGCTTTGTTCCTCAGGGACCTTAGGGTCACAGTCACGGAACATGTTGTAAAAGCCCATGGAACCCAACTGTGGGGCTCGAGAATTCTGTTGGCGTTGGACGTGGCTGGTGCTCAGTAGTCTGTGACGAGGCTGGGCACGGCAGGTTTGGGGCACCCGCCAGGTGTGAGACACTGGTGACTGGTGGAGAAGGTGGTCCTCACCGACGGTGAGCAGGGCGATATACACTTAGTGCTGGTATCCGAACGACCGAAGATGGCGCGTACTTCCGGGGAGTTTTATAGCCTTGACCTTGTGTCCTCGGAACCCAGGAGGACCCCTCCTCAAGTACCGCCGCCTCTGCGGTGTTGCTTTCACGACATTGGTGAGAAGCGGTAGGAACTGAACTCTCACTCGCAACCGTGAGCCTGTGTTGAAATGGCTTCGCTGCGGCTCCCGGAGCCGATCGACACGTTAGGTGAGGATATACTTACTGTACAGCGAAGGGTCAGGATGGAGGGCAGGGGTGTGTAACGTGGGCACTGTCTGTTCCCAAGCAAGTTGAAGGCTGCTGAGAAAACTGCTTGTTGCTGAAATGGAGGTCACAAGGGAGAGAGGGGTTTGGTGGCGACGTTTTCGTTCTCGCCTGTTGTGTGGCAGGGAAAAGACACAGGACAGGACAAGTCCATTCATTCGCCGGCCACTCCCACCTTGTATCCGGCATGTGGTATCCGGTGCCCTTGATTTTGACACTAGTCCTGTCTCAGGAGAGGCCGTGTGCAGGAGCAGCTGCTCTTCCGGGCAGAGCCCCCATGTGTGTCCTGGGTCACTCGCTCAGGGACTAGCCGCAGAGGGACGTCACCCCTTGACAGTCTGCTCACTGATTCCTTCATGTCACAGATGTTGTTTGAGGGCTGTGCCGACAGGGACAGGGCTGGGTGCTCAGCCAGGTCCCCCCGAGCATGACGTGGAGAGTGTGGCCGGGAGCTCATCCCGCCGTGTGGTGTGTGGCTTTAGGGAGAATTATGAGCTGCTGAAATCGGCCGTTTCAGAGGAAGTTGCTTGACTCAGAATTTCTGATTTCAGGAGGAAAGAACTGAGTGTTTTAGGGCCCCACAGAGGGTTTTTCAGAGAGCGGTTTTACCCGAGGTCCGTGGAGTTGTCATTCAGGAAAAGTTCTGAAGTCGAGAGAGAAGCTCGGGAAGGCGGTGGGGAGACGGGGGTGCCAGGGCCTCGGGGGTGAAGAGCGGGACCCTCAGGCCTGCCCCTCCTCCCCCGGCGCCTCCCTCTGCCCCTTCCCGTAGCCCCAGGGTGCACCCCAGCCCCTGCTCGACCCTAAGTTAAACTTCTCACTTCTTCAGAATAGGAAGAGGCAGCAGCCTGTGCTCCTCATCTAGTGAGAAGAAACGCCATGGAGGAAATGCCACAGACCAGATGTGAACGGAAGTCACCGTGGGGAGGACTCGTAACAAACTTTGTGTTTGCGCACCTCACAGGTGGACGTTTGTATATGTGGGTACACATAGGATCGATGCATGTAACATAGGTACACATATACTTCTGTGTTCTGGTTGATTTTTTTCTCAACGTTTCTCTTATGGCCTTTTCCACGGTCATTCTAGCACCGTCCACGGTGTGCGGAGCACGACTCCAGGGGACGGGAATAAAAGCTTTAACACATGTCCCGTCTCCAGGGAACTCTCGGTCCAGTGATGGAGACATTGCTGAAAACAAGTATTTGAAATTAATGATTTAAATTGTTTTATTGTTGTCCAGGTACAGTTGTCTCCATCTCCCCCACCAGTCTCCCCAAGCCCAGCCAGCCCCACTTCCCTCCCCCGATCCCGCCCCTCTTGGGTTTGTCCATGTGTCCTTCACAGATATTCCTGAAACCCTTTTCCTTTATCCTTACATTGTTTTTTTTTTTTAAGTAATGAAATTGGGAGGGGGTTTATGTACGACAAGGTCAGGGCCGACTCCAAGGTGGACACGGCTCGTCCGGCCCGGCGGCCGTGGCGAGTTCCGCGGTCTCTGAGAACGCCTCGCTGTCCTCCGCTCGTCCGCCAGGCCCTCCCGCTGCACCGGTTATGCCGCCTTCCCGGGACGCTGGGCCTCCGAATTTTCTCTTGCCTCCTTAGTCCCATTTCTCTCCCCCAACACATTCTCGTCCAATCTGTGCGACTTCCGGCCTAGAGAGAAGATCTGTCATCTCACAGATAACGAGAGGCGGGGCGCCGAGACGGAACTCGGGTGGCTTGGTCACGGTTGTTTGGGGACGGGGTGGGGGACTGAATCAGAGCGCTGGCCCTTACCCAGCGCACTCCCGATGCGGGCCGTTTGTCAGAGCCTGGCCCTGGGGGAGGCGCCCACCGGTCACCTGCCGCTGCGCTCACGGTGGGCACGCTGCGGTCCCCACCTGTCAGCGTTCTTCCCACGAGGGCCGTGTGGCTTCTGCCCGAGGATGGCTGCAGGACTCTGCCTCTAACTACTGCAGCCGCCAGCTCCTGTCTCTGCGCCCAGTCCTTCCCGGCCACGCTCCTGTCCGGTTACAGCCTGGTGCCGGCCTGGGAGGCGCGCTTCCGCCCCTGACATCTGCCGGGCTGCCTCCCGAGTCAGAGTCTGATCTCAGCGTCACTGCTGGTCCCGGTCGCTCTCTCGTTCTTCCTAATTCTCCCCCTCCACGGCATTCCCGGAGCGCCAGGTGCGTGCCGAGCTGCGTGCCGGGACGTGGCCTGCCCCGGGGGGAGGCTCTTCAGTGCATGGCTTCTCACCCCGGTAAAGCCGGCGAGACTCCTCTGGGCCTGGGCACGACTCTCCGCCGCCCCTTCTGTGCCCGAGGGGACTCCGTGACTTCAGCCGGCATGGCCGGTGTTCGCCGGGCCGTACAGGGCGGTCTGCTGCCCGCTGCCCAGTGAGCTCTCTTCTTCCCGCACGTTCTTTCGTTTGGGATGTTTGTGTTGTAGCTCATATAAATCCTTCTCGTGTGTGTTTAGTTACTCTGCCTGTCTTGCACTATCATTTGTATTTTTCTGGGTTTTGTGCGAGACAGCAGGGTCCTGGATCGATGTAGGACCCTTTCAAAGAACTCTCCTCCCTCCTAGTGCCTTGTTTTGAAGCCCAGCCGTTCTGGACGGTTCCGGGCGAGGCCTCTTTCCTTCCCTGTAAACCGGTTAATAACGGCTCCTCCATCACTGAACCCTTGAGAGGACCCGTTAATTCACGTCAGGTGCAGCACTTGGACATCGCCTGGCCCGTAGCTGCCATTTTCGGAAGACTCGCTTTAATTATAATTATATTCTCACTCCCTCATCCCCCAACACACCTTTCAATAAAGCCTTTTTCCTCCAGGTCTTTAAAAAATAACCCACGTCACACACGGATTGCAGTCACACCTCCCTCCGGTCCAGACAAGGTGTCGCTTTTCCTCATCTCGTTCCTCCAGTTCAAGCTGGGGAAGTCCCTGGGTGGGGACTTGGGTTTGCCGCCGAGCCGATGTTTTGGCGCTCCGGGCGCCTTAATTCGACACGTTCTTGTTCCGCGCCCCCTCGCCCCCACGCCTTCTGTTTCTGGACTCCCCCCGACGAGCCCCTCCCGTCCTGGTGCCCGGGCAGCTTTGGTCCTGCCTGTTCTTGGGTCTTGGCCCCGGTGCGAAGGCTCAGGGAGCGTCTGGCCTTCGGCCGGGTAAAAGCATCGGTTACACTTCAGTCACGTCCCAGCTCGGACCGATTTTCACTTTAGAAATTTCCAGGTCTTCAGTCAGCC